CCCCAAAACCCCAAAACCCCAAAACCCCAAAACCCCTAGATTAGGTCTTATGGTTGAAATTAGATGATCCTTCTCCATTTCAGAATTTTTAACAAGTCTTTGTTCTGATCACTCTCTTGTCTGTTAAAACAGGGATTTGGGAACTGCTGAGCATTCTTCAAAGCTATCTGACGTTTTAAGGAACTATATTGAGGCTTTGACAGGGAGTGAGGAACGAGTTTTCTCTTGAGTTTACATCTTGGGTCTAGCATGCTTTTTCTAACCACAATTGTCTTTATTGTTTCTTTTGAGGACTCTCAGGGATCTTCTTCAATATAAGATGCTATTTTCATATTATATTCTTACTTGAAATAGGTCTCTTTTTCAGGGTAACTTTAGCAGTGCAAAATGGAACAATGACATCCATATTTTTCTGTTGAGTTCCGACACTTTTAGAATTTCTTCTGTCTACAATTTTCAGAAATGTACACATTTTATACAAACAAAAACTTCTTACCTTCATATGTGCTATAACGGTGTTTTAGATCAACATAATCAGATTCTTGGATAGATACATTTACTCGTGGTTCTTGAGGCTTATTCACCACCATATTTTCTGAAGATCCACTGAGTTCTTGAGACGCCCGAATGCTTATTAATGACTCCTCTTGGGTAAGTCTTTTTGAGATAGGGAAATTGACTTTAATTCTTTGCCTTGCCTTAGGCTTTAGACTACCAGAACTGTTCAAGTTATTTTACAAAAGGAGAGATATTCTTTGATCTAACTTCTTGAGTTAGAGTAGCTTCCCTTTTAGTAATGGAAAAAGTAGATCTTTTCCTCTGAGAATTGTTCTTTCTTGAAGAATAATTTAAGATTGCCTTATTATGACAACTTAGTCTTTTAGTCAAACTGATATTCCTCTTGGAAGAGGACTTCAGAGTTGAAAAGTTAAAGAGCCGAGTATCGTTAAAGCCTGTTGGGTAGTCTGACTCTCCTCCATAATTAGTCTTGTTAAGATTGGCATCTATAAATTAAAACTGAAGCTACTATGAAAGTATTTCAAAGGGTTTTGAGAAGACAAGTTCTTAATAAAAGCCTTATTTTGTTGCAATCTAGTTCTGGTATTACGCATACTAGAGTATTGGTGCTTAGAGTTAATAACTGAGCCATCTATTTTTATGTAATCCCTATTTCTCCTGCTCATTCTGAACCTTTTTATCTGATTCATACTCATTATTTTTGAAGGAGAAGTTGATTTTGAAGGGGAGTAGCTTAACTGACTCGTTATTGACATAATTGGGGATTTTTCACTTTCATTTATATCTTTGAATTCTACTATAATAACTTATCATAATTACCTGAGCAGGGTATACATTTCTAAGGTCAGACTGTGCCTTAAAAAGATTGGAATTACTGCTTGATTTAGAGTCAACTTCTTTGTGTTCATGATGCTCTTGGCCTTCTATGCTACATCTTGACTTGGGTATTACCTTCTATCTTCTTGCTAGTCAGAACTACAATGGGTTTGTAGTCTATATCATCGGGTTATCTCAGAAAAGAGGTTATCTATTCTTATAATTTCTTACTTATATTCATGATGGCTTAACAATTAGTATAAAATTGTAAGGGGTTTTGGGGTTTTGGGGTTTTGGGGTTTTGGGG